GGCCCCGCGGCATGCTGGGAGCCTGCCTTCCCGCACGGGAGGAAGAGTGACCCCTCCCGGCATGCCCCGGCACAGGGCGGCTAAGCCGACTACAGCTCCCGGCATGCCTCGGGACAGCGACTAAGCCGGACTGCAGCCCCCAGCATGCCCTGCGGCGGCCTAGGGCAGTGCTTCCCACCCTTGTCCTCAGCATAGTCCCCACTTCCTCAGCATGGCTCCCCCTCATCTGCGGATGTTATGACCCCATTTGGGGTGGCGACCCACAGTTTGGGAACCACTGCTCTGGGTGGGCGCGGGGCCTCAAGGCGCGGCTGTGGGATGGCGCCCAGCTGCTGCAGGTCAGCGCCCTGGGTAGTGCAGGGGTTGGCCATGGCCATCCGCCCCAGCCAGGGGCAGGTCAAGGCCAGGGCCAGCGGCGAGGGTGCAGGCCTCTGCCCTCCCCTGGGGATCATACGCCCATTGCAGGCTGCGCCTTCCTCACCCTGTTACGAGGACAACAGTGCCGTCCATCTTGCTACAGCGGGGGCCACTGCCCCATGAACTGCTGAGCTGCTGCTTTGCTTGAGCACCTGCTATCGCTGCAAGCCCTGCCCAGCACCGGGGCACCCACAAACACCTGAGGAATGACCCAGCTCAGCCACGGCTCCACCACGGGAGGTTGCGGCGCCGTTGGAGTCAGTCAGCAGCCAGTTCCTCCCAACTCTTGATGTTGGTTGGCATCCACTGTCTTGAGTTATGCCTTCAGCGTGTCCTTGTAGCATTTCCTCGGGCCATTACTAAGCTGGGAGCAGAGCCCTTGTTTCGGGAGCTGAGTATCAGGCATCTGCACACAATGTCTGGCTCAGTGAAGTTGGTGCTTGAGGATCGGGGAGTTAACGCTGGTAACACTGGCTTCAGCAGGGATGCTGCCATTTATGCAGTGATCTTCCCATTTGATGTAGAGGATTTTCCAGAGGCATCATTGGTGATACTTCTCCAGGCTTTTGAGAGGACAATGGTAGGTCACCAATGTTTCACATCCATAGAGGAGAGTGGGGATGAAAACTGCTTCGTAAACATGGATCTTGTCTTTCTGGAGATCATGATGAATAAAGACATGCCGAAGCAATTTCCCAAAGTAAGCACTTGTGCACTGGATCTAAGTGTCTCCCTTGACCCCGTGGCTGGCCTCAAACACTTCCATTCCTGGTGATGCACACCTCTTCCACAGCTCTTCTTGCAACTGCTTAGAGGCAGCTCACAAAGAAAGGGTGGTTTGTTGCTAGTGTGTGGTTAAATCTGATTGAATGTAGACTTGGAGCTCTCAAAGTGCAATTACTGACTTATGTTACTTAGAGAAGCCGAACAATGTATAAAGCATTTAATTGTGCAGTATCCTGGATCCCTAGGGCAGGCCACGGGATACAGCAAAGCTTGGTCTGAAGAGTAGGGAAGCAGAGAGAATGGGGAAAGGGGGGTGGAAACTGGTGGAGAGCAGTCAGTTGGAGGAACAGAAGGAGCTTTTAAAAACCAGGAAGCCCAATTGGAAGTGGGTTTAGAAACTTATTCGAAATTTAAACTTTTCCTGGTAAACATTTGTCTTTGGATGGTCTGAGTGAGTCATCTCAGGAAAGCATTGGGGATGAGAAGAGAAAGTAAATTTACTGAATGGCCCCAAATTTACTGATCTGCTTCTAAAATACCTCATTCCAAACAGGCAGCCCTGCTACTTCATGATTCTCTCAATGCAGATCAATCCTGGCCTGAAACTCCCATTTATGTTCAAGTCCTGAATGTTTGGGGCAGAGACTAGATCTATGAAGCTAAGCTCTCTGTTAGTTTTGCAATGTGAATCCTTAACAGCGGGCTAAGAACCCGCAAACTCATTTGAACTTGTGACCGGAGCTGGGATTTCCGCTTGTGGTTTCTCAGAAACAAAAAGCTACTTCTTGAAATCACCCTGTAGTTGCTGAGTTCAGAAAATACTGTTAACTCTGTCATGGACCACAGCTCAACGACATCCCATCAAAGCTTATCATCTCTGGGACTCCCTGAAGCTCAGCATTCAGCTGTTTCCAAGAAGCATATCACAAAGAATTTGATGGGTGAAATATGCCATGTGTATTATTTGGCCAACATTCTGCATGTGTGAATAGGACGTAACTGGCTCTTAGAGATAGAGGAGACAGACGTCTGTGTTAATTCGGTGGAGTGGTGACAGCATTTAAGTGCCTTCCCTTTATGTGATAACACAGCATGTGTTATCTAATGGGGAAGCAGCGCCTAGGCTCTCGCTCCAGCCCCAATCTCTGTTTTCTCCATAGAGGCCAAATCATTCGGGTGAATATTTTAGGCTTAGAAACTTAAAACTGCAAAGTGAAAGTCCAACCAAAACTGCGGGTATCTGGGCAGAAATGTTGCTTTTCATTTGCAGAATGCTGCTTTATTTTCTTTGACCTGATGTGATCACCAGACTAAGTGTGTGATTCTGTTCCACAGTAGTGCTGTCTGAATCACTTCTGACTTCTCACCAATGCCCAACCTGCTCTTAGGATGTTATCGAACTGGCAACGTGCATGTGTTTCTTTCCATTTCCTGTTCTCCTGCAGTAGCTTATTACTGTGACCTGCAGGTAACTCAACTCATGTTGTAGACACCTGTGCTAAACTGCAAAAGATACCAGAGTATATCTGTGCTGATGACCTATGTAAGGCTGTGTATTTGAATCTGCGTGCATTCACATTTTATTAGACTAGAAGGTAACATCAAGCTATTAAGAAGTAAATAAGGAAGGAGGTTTTTCTCTACACTTACTAAAAAAGATCATGGCCTGAAGTAGGATCAGCAGTGAAATCAGATGAATGCAACACATCTCTCTGCCCAAAAGCCTTTTCCATCTTGGCTATTCTTCTCCTGTCTGTCCCAATCTACTTCTCTAAGGATCTGGGGGAAGTTGCTGTCTTGACCTTTGTTCCTTCTGGTCCCGTGTGGACACCATGCCACTTCCTGCAGCACAACAGGGCACAACAAAGCCTTCACAGGTTACAGTTACAAATGGTCCTATCCTTTCTAGAGGGACATTTCCCAAGCCACATCTCTGTGGAGCAGAGGAATGTGATCTCCTTGTTCATCGCAGTATTGACTTCAAGGGCATAAGGAACAGTTCAGGAGGAATCTCAGAATCTGGCTGCCTCGCTGCATCAAGCCAAGAGTTTTGTGCGTCAAAGCAATTCAAATGAACAAGTCAAAGGAAGAAAGCCTTGCAACTTTGGCATGGAGCTTGATCGGTTTATGAACAGAGTTATGTGACAAGATTGCCTGAGATAGCAAGGCACCAAACTCTGTGACCCAGGATGCCCTTCTAGTTCTTAAAATAGGCTGCACCCCTCCACCACTGGTATCCAGTGTTTTAACACTTAAAAAATAAATGCCTGGCCCTTGACCTAGGAAGTGTGGACAGGTGCACAGCAATTGTCCTGGCTCTGCTGGAATAACAGGAAGAGCTATTGTAACAATGATACCTAGGGCCCTGGGAGGGAAAAAGCAGCCTGTGTACAGCTGGGGAGGACACAGCAGGTTCTTGAGAGAAGTCCTTTCTGGTTTTCTGTCTGTAGGGAGAGGGAGAAGGGGAGAGCAGATACCAACAGACACAATAGTCTGGAGGAGTTGCACAATGGTCTGGAGGATGCATGCTTCTCACGGGCTGCTGCTGAGGTCATGGTAACCCCGAGGCATGGAGCAGTTGTGGGCATTGTCAGGTGGACGCTGAGAGGAGCGTGTCGTGCTAGTCTAATTCACGGTTTTCCTCTGCTGTTCTGTACACAAATAGCCAGGACTCCTGGGCTTCATCCCTGATTTACTGGGTGGCTCTCTCAGATACCCACACCTTGTAAAATGAAGTTGGGGCATTTGGCCTCCTTCATTGGGCACTGTGAGATCTCCCAACGAATGTGCAAGTCCTCAGATGAAAGGCACTAACCACCAGCAAACATGGGGAGTGCTTGTTAATCTCCCTACCTCAGCTCTTACTCTCAGAGCTTTTCTGGGGCCCTCTCCAGCCCTACACAGTAACTCTCCCTGGATGTTGTGGAAGATCTCACCAGAGCACCAACCCCCAGCATCAGAGAGACATGGCGTTGAGTGGAAGGGATCAGAGACAAAGAAACACCTAGCAGGGTTTTGCTGTGAAGCATCAAAGGTCACAGTGATCATCAGGGTCACTGGATGTGGCTATGGGATGTAAATTCAATGGAAAAAAAGGGAGAGCAGTGGAAACATCATTTGTTCCTTTAAAGCAATGACTCCTACGGTATCTGGCTGGATCAGGCTAATGCCGAGAGCAGTTAAGAGGCCCCAGGGCCAAAGGACAGCGGTTGAAGTCATGTTTAATTCAGATCCCAGCCCCAGGTGCTACAGGTGGATTATTCACAGAGGGGGAAGGCTGGGCTCTTGGGGATGAGTGTCAGGCAACCAGAGACATGTTCTCCGTTCGGGAGCAGTTTTGCTGCATGCCTGTATGCAAGTTGTATCCTTGCTGTATCGCCGTTTCCCTGTCAGCAAGTACTGGGCTCATACAAAAGGGTGCTGGGAGGCTCAGTTCCCAGACAGCTGCGAAACACTTTGAAAGCAACTGGAGTTTCAGACAGCACACCTACTCAGGATCCGTGCTGCGGCGTCAGGAGTACGACGGCCTTTGATTCAGTCAAAGGTAAAAGCAATTTCTGGATGGTGCTGGAACAAAGGTCCCAGCCAGGTTGGTAGAAGTAAGCTCAGAATCTGTTGGTTTAATGATGGAGACTGGCGTTCCTCCAACATTTTCCTTTATGCCTACAGTCATGTTGACTTGTACTTATGAACTCCCCATTATACAGATATTGTAGGTATTTTTTTCCCATTGGCTTTTGATTTCCTGGATGTCTGTAAGGGAGTCAGACTAACTGTTATTACACCCTTCTTATGACTGCTAGGA